TGACGAGTCAGACTCGTCAAAGTCTACAGTGGCCCATGAAATGAATGACGAGCCAGACTCGTCATTGTATGTCAAGGGGTTAATAAGTTAATATTGTTTAAACATCAATAAAAGGATTAAAAAAATATATATATGTATTTTTAAGCCTTTTTTTTTAATATACATTAAATGAAAATGACATGTAACACATGCTTCTAATTTATTAGATTATATAACAAAAATAAAATATTACATATATAATAATATGAAATAATGTTAAATATAAAATTTATTTAATATATTAATATTATATTCTATAAGTTAATTATATATAAAATAAATAACATATTTCCCATATTCGATATTTAGAGTACGAGATTGTATCAATCATTCTGAACTTTTTTCGTATTGCAGAATCCTTTATATTGTATTTTTTTGGTTGTAAAAACTATTTAATTTTGAAAAACAATAGAAAATATTTTAATATATTTAGTAAATAAGTATATTTTATTTTACATACGTACAAAAATATATGAAATAACGTAAGTAGCATTACAAATGTTTAATACTAGTTTCAAAAATTTTTATGAATAACAGATTGGGAGACATTTAACACTCGCATCGCGTGATCGCGAGCATCATTCTGCCTTTGTTTCACATCCAAGAAAAACAAGAATGATACTCGCAATTGTTGCGAACATTAAACGGAACGCACCCAATATAGCTTTCACGTAAAGCCGAAAATACCCGCGCACGCGCACGAAAATAGTCGCAGTCAGTTGATTATTCTCCTTGTCGCAATTATCAGTTACATACAAAGTGAGTCTTTGAAATATTTATGAAATACATAGACTCATATGTCTATCGAACAACACGCGACAGTCGATTCCGATGTTCGACAACAACATCTTATATAAAATTTATACAAAACCAACGTAAATATATGATGTAAAAATTTAATAAATATAAAATAAATGTAAAGTATAAAAATGTCTTTGTAGAGCAGAGTAGAAATCGCTGAATTGTGAATGTTTATTGCGAGATTATGTACATGTTATGTAATCGCAATTTTATTCGGAAGGCACATCGAATGTTTATCGAATGTATACATTCGACGTTTCTTCATAAAATGTAATTCAGCTGAATTTATAATACCATGTATCATATCATTTTCATTGTTACAAAGAAGTTTAATATGTTCTAAAAAAGATGATATTTCATCCAAATGTGCTTGCAATTTATTACCTTCTGGACGTTTTCCCTTACAAAACATAAACACATGTGTCGCTCCATAGTCTTCTTAAGATTAACCCCTTGACATACAATGACGAGTCTGACTCGTCATTCATTTCATGGGCCACTGTAGACTTTGACGAGTCTGACTCGTCAAGCGCTTTTTTCGGCGGACGCCCTGCAGTTTACGATTAGATTACATAGTTGCTTCATTCGTGCGTCGATTCTCGTTTGTTTATAACGTTCGAGATGGCCCAAGAACAAAAAAGCATCAAACATCATTTTGTAGTATCAAAGGATATAAAAGAGTATCAAAGAATATAAAAAAATGTTTTTTTATATGGTTGATATAGCTCTCTGTAATGCTTATGTGCTATATTCCAAGTTGCCGAATCAAACAAAGCAATCGATAGTAAGTTTTCGGTTGAATATTGCAGAAGACATGCTATATAATTTTTTGCCTCTTCCTAACTATTCAAAGCGTGACAGACCGTCGTAAAATGAATGCCCGACTCGGCTACAGGTCAAACGTTGGGCACATTTCCCGGAACATATTCCCTCGACTGATAAAAAAAAACTACCTACAAAGAGATGCCGCGTGTGCGTAAAAAACAACATAAGAAGTAAAACAACGTGGCAGTGCAAAAAATGTTTAGTTCCTTTACATGTTCCAAAATGTTTCGAAATATTCTATACTGTACAGAACTATTAAATTATTATTTTTTAATGTTATTTAGATGTTCTTTGTTAACATCAATCAGATTAATAAAAATCCAAATTTCAAAATAAAACGTACTCTTTTTCAGCTTTCACGTAACTGTTCAGTTGAGCGAAATTAAATAGTATTTTTTGGTCACATTAAGTTCCATTTAATTTGTATGTCAAGGGGTTAAGAACTGTCGTATCATGTGGTGGAAGCCATGGTGAAACAAAGATTATATTATTAGGACGATGATCAATTCAAATAAACCAAGATATATTTCATAAAATGATAAATTATTATAAAGATCATTACCACTACTGCAAGTTTTGACAATTCTTTACGATTTAAAAATAAAGTTGGAATTTGTCTTTGTGTAAATGCAATTTGTGATGTCAAAGTTCTTTTATCATAACAACTGAGGATAATCCAAAGCGAAGTGCATCAATAACATTGTCAATTGCTATCTTAGTCAGTCCTAACAATTCTTGTTGAATAAGTTGTGCCTAGTTTCAGACTTTGCTTTATCAGGAAGTATATCGACTATCACCCAATTCTTGTCAAGTATCTCTCAATGCATCTTTTAATTATGAGTTTTCCGCATTATTAAACGGTATACGATGTGTTACGTTGGTTTTGTTGAATGCTTTAATACTTACTACTGCAGGTTTTGTAAAACTTCTGACCAATGACGAAGAACATTTTCTGGAAGGAGAATGAGAGTAAGTACTTATGAATCTAATGTTTTATTGAAAAATATTACCAAAAGTAGTATAAAAGAAGAATCAATTTGGGATAAAGTTCTCTATTTTAAAACAAATCAAAATTTTATTTCTGATTGGTTGCATGGGCCTGAAGGATGTTTTAAACTTGTACTACAATGCATATTATATCATTACGTTATGAAAAAGTTCTGTATTGTATCAAGTGATATTTTAATTGATCGGTTAAAAACTTTTGATTATCATCATTATGATATATCTTACAAACCGCTCTTGATTTCTTGTAATGATGACAAAAACAAATTAACAATATCTTGTAGTGAATTATCTAATTTTACACTCATGTTTACCATGCTTGTAGGAAATCTTTTTCCAAAGAATGATAAAGTATGGCTATTATATTTGAAGATGAGAGAAATTATGGATTTCATTATATCTCTAAGATTGCAAAGAGAAACAGGCAATCTTTTACGAGTTCTAGTTAGCAAATTCCACATGAAATTTGCAGAATTAATTTCAAATCAAAGATTTAATCTAAAATCAAAATTTTGTTTATTATGACACTATTTTTCAATTTTTTGGATCTATTCGTAACTTAAATACCATTCATTTCGAAGCAAAGCAAAGATAAGAAAATGGAGGCTAATGTTATCACATGTAGAAGAGATATTACTCATACTTTATGAGTTAAAGAACAGGTAAATCTTTGCTACAGATTGTTGATTCTGAAAGGTCTACGATTCAATGATTCATGGAGCGATAACGAATTTATAAAACATGTATCTCTTTGCCATGATCATCTATTATTTAAGTTTACTTTAACGCCTGATTTTAATGATACATGTTTAACCCATTTGCATCATACGGAAAATTGGAAACTTGGCCCATATCACCAAAATTTTTCTATTGTATAAAGATAGAAATGTTTCAAAATGCATAAAGAACGGAAAACAAAATGGCGTACACGAAGAATTTGCATTATTTGCAAAGTGCAAATTTCTTGAAATTGACATAAACCTATTTCGTAACATCACTGTTCTGATGTACGGTGTTTCAATACTTTAGTCCGTGCTCCAATAACTTTGTAATATAGGTTTTTGGACTAGAGATATCAATATCATCAATGCAAAATAAACTTTCAATTTCTCTACAGAAATTTCTGTGAAACTCGGATCGTTTATACCAAATCGATTAGTTTCGATTACAATGTGTTCAAGAATTTCCTGTCCAAGAAATAATCCGTAAACGTTCTCTCTTGTAAAATTTGTAATATCTTTATTTACACCATTAACAGATATAAATTTATGCAACTTAGGGTGATAATTTTTTTCATCCCATTCAAAATCTTTGACCCCCTCTGTGTAACCGAGGTTTGATCGAAACCTTCTTAGAGATTAACGAAAGCCTCTTAACTATTTATCACATCGAGCTTATTATGTTTATCCCTGTGCGCTACGCTAAATATTATTATTATTATCGACGTTGCCGGTGAGCGGATGCGTTTCGCGCTATTACATTACATTACGTAAAGCACGAGATTTCAACTAGTTGATTCAAAATCGAAACAAATCGTCCACTTGTGCGGTACTTGTTGGTGCGCGATCAGACTAGTCAACGATTTCATCGTTTCTCTCGCGCGACATCACCTAAAGATCGTGTACAAGCGGAGAGTCTAGCGTAAAGGGTCGGAAACTTCGTGTGTGAAACTCCTTTTGATGAAAATCTTACGACGTCGCGCATTTCCTCCCGCGTGTTCTCTCGCGTTTAAAAAAGCGCATCACTAGGCGTCTACGCGAGAAACAATGTTCTCTCTTCTACAACGTTACGTTACATTGGAAAATAATCTTTATCTCTTTTATTTATTATGTAACAATCTATCTCCCCCTTCCCCATCTTCACCCCTCCCTGAATCTCCCTCTAAACGAGTGAAGGGCCAACAGGATCGAGTCACAAGAACCGCCGAAAATTTGTTTCTACTACGTAGAATCGCGTCGCAACAAGTTGCGTACCTGAGAGATCACCCCGTGATCTAATGAGTGATCGACATTATTTTATAAATAATCTCTCGCCTCTACGCGAAGGAAAAAACGACTATCTTACGCGTAACTGTCATGTATCTATCACTCACTCACTCACTCACTCCCACACTCACTCTCTCTCTCTCTCTTTTTCTCTCTCTCTCTCTCGTTGATTATTTCAGCGCGCTAAGATCAGGTTGCGACAGCATTCGAAGCAACTATAAAATTTCTGATGACACCGACGCGATTTAAAAACTTCTCCCGGATCGGCCGCTGCGCGTTCTTCCTTAATTAATTTTCTCGTCTCTCGGCGCTACGATCATTGTGTGGATAATTAAAATTAAAAAATAAGAGAGAGCTAGTCGTTTCTCTATGTGTACGTCTTCTACATGTGTGTATATGCGTGTGTGTGTGTGTGTATGTAACAACAACACGATGTCGCTTTCAACATAACACCCGGCGAGTTCTTCTGAGCAGTTTAGAGTCAATCGCGATATAATACGCTCTGATTGTAGTCACGCTCGCGAGAGTTTCGCTTAATGTTCGTCTTTTTCTCCACTTATATATTCGCACACATACACTGAGCCATGTGTATGCCATATCATTATAATTTGAATGTCTCACACGATTTTCGACCTTATGCGTATTACACATAAGGCTGAAAGTCGTGTAACTCTCGATCTAAGGAATGGTACGACATACGCAAGACACGCCGACTGTACGTTCTAGCTTGAGTCTCAACTCGATGGATTCTCTTCGGACTTACAGAGTACCTGGGTGGCTTCGCAGATCCTCGACACCTCGCGCGGATTTCCGAGGCCACCGATTTGCGCGATCTCTATTTTCGACTCTTTCTAAACTTCCGTCGCGGACCTCCCGTGTCGAAACACCGTCCGACACCGAGGAGTTTTTGTAACACGCGAGTGCATTCCGAGACGAAACTCGCGACTATTTCCACGAGGAATCTTGAATTCTTATTTTCTCAGATTGATCTCCGGTGAACACACTAGTCCTCATCTCTCATTTAGGTAGGAACGTTCGTTAATACTAAAAAACGCTAAGAAATTCAACGCCCGTTTCGCAAACCATTGGTTTCAGTACAACAGGACGGAAAGGTGTGTGTGCAAAGTATCGTATCCTCCTCCTTGCTAGGCGCGATTCGTCGTCATGTTTAGGCTCCTCGGACTATATCATACCGTTGTATCTTACATGGCTACAGCTACGAGACCCTTAAACGAGTGTGCCGACTCTAAACCGATATACAAAATAGGCGCGTAGAGCTTTTTGGTGTTCTGAACAATCTCAGCGTCTTCGCTTTGCACACGATGCGCGACAAATGATCTCAGCGAACGAATTCATTGCGAAAACCTCGAAACGAGAATTCTACGGCTGCCGTTTCAGCGCTTCTAATATGATTTTTTTCTTCTTTTTTTTCGTTTTTTCTTCTTTTATTCTCCAAACCGGAAACAAGTACGGCGATTCTAAACTTGAGCTTCTATTATATATATATATATATATATACGAACAGTGGCGCAACTCTGAAACATCGTGAGCCTGCTATGGAGAAGATCCAGTAGGAAGCATCCTGGTCGAAGGATGCAATGAATCTCGGGCAAGCCTACCTCCGATACCAACTAACCACACTTATTTTAACGCTAAACGCGAGAATTTTGATTGTACAATCGCTTTTCTTGAAACAATCACCTTCGATTACCACATTTTTACTCAGTTTCGTCCTCCTTTTCGGAATCTTTCTCCACAATTTTCCCGTCGTCCGTTTTCCCGACGTCACGAATCCCACTTTCGTTCATTTCCCGTGAGCGAACGACCAGTTACGCCACCGTCGTCGATAACCACATCGCGGATTGTACTGCTCGAGATCTCTAGTCGTATTTACGTATTACTACCAGCTACCAATCGTTGACAAAGCTCGGTGTACCTTTGATTATCACTGCTTTTGCAAGCGGTAGTTGAGGGCAGTAAACCCGGTGACCGACATACCTGTGTAGAAATCGCCGAGCACGGTTCATCGTGTCTTTCGACGTCGGGAGCTCACCGGCTACCGGACACTTCCGCGAGGTGACCGTCTCCCGAATCTCCTTACCAGAGACATCGGTCATCGTGTTTCGCATCCGAAGTCTTTGGCTCGAGGGCGCGTGACGGGCCGAGGCGCGTACCGGAAGCAGAGATGCCAGAAATCGGCCTCAGGCGCGTGAGGCTGACTTCTGGCATACCCGACCGGAAGTCCTCAGCGTCCGGCCCATCGCGCGCAGATACAGAGAAGGCATTTCGCACGGCTGTCGTATTATTGGCCGGAGCTTATGGACATGGTGTCACTACCAGTGGACACAGTGTCCGACAGCGGGGGCGGCAACAGCGGCGGCAGTGGCGCCGCCGACGACGACGACGACCTCAGCAGCTCGTATTGTCCCCGCGGTATCCGCACGGCCGGCGGCGACAGCACGTTCATGTTCTCCAGTAACGGTGGTAGCACGTTGTTCTGGAACTGGCCCGACACGTTGCCCACCGGCTCGTAGTTCGCCACGACGATCAGCTTGCCGCTGCGGCTGCGCGCCTTGCCGACCCCGAAGTACCGGCTGCTCGCCCATATCAGCTGCGTGAAGTGACCTGGAACGACGTTTTTTTTTCTCCCTTTCATTTCTCCTTTTCTTCTTCGCGCTAATCGTGCTTTCCTCCCGTGCGATAATCGATAGCGACACTCGTATCTTCCTGAATCCGAGGCTCGCATTTATAGTCGTTACTTGAAAGTAACTTCCACAAGTAACAGAAACTTCTTATAAAAAAGACGTTATCTCATCAATGGCCTACATTGTTATTTATTACAGCCTGACAACTCTGAATATGCTTTCAACTAGTTTTCTAAAGTAACTGAGGGAAAGCGATTTCTATATTTGCCGGACTTGATGGCACAACTGTTTCAGGTTAAATAAACGTTGAATATACATTTTCCCTGAAGCGCTCTTTCCTCTTCGCAAACGCCCATATGTATTCTATCGGACTCGCATCAGGAGATGTACCGACTGCAGTCAGAGGTCATGATGAGATTTGTGACAAAGCCCACGGCACTCGTTTCTCCATGAGTTTCTGGCTGAGCAAAGGCTGATCTCGCATACCTCGCTATGCGAATCTTGACTTTTGAGGATGGCGTTTGACTGTTATCTCGGATTACGTCTACTTTGCGTCGAATGTGAAATGTTACTAGCATATCTACTGTATGACGAAATGAACGACGCCCCCCTCCCCCTCACCAAACCCGCCAGGATCCAGCCAACTAATGCATACAGGACTGTATAAGGTGATATAGGATGCTTTTGTGGGACTGACTGTAGATTTAAATTTAGAGTTAGATTTGAATGTTCAATGAAATTTTGCGATACATTACACGATACACGTGACATTATATACCTGTAATCGCGATTCAACTGGAAAATTCAGATATAACTCTAAATTCGAATTTCACTTGGGATAATTATGATTAATAATTTTCAAGTCATGATTATTAGCACGGGTCTAACAGGGAAGCAACGATTGTTTTAGCTTCAGAGGATCTCGCAACGTTTTACCTGCGTTCACGTTGGCATGGAGTACGTCCGGCTCCTTGAGGAAGTCGTACTGCCTTACAGCGGAGTACCAGTAGGACGCGACTTCCTGCCCCGTGACGTCGCCGGGAACGGCACCGCCGGGGCGACAATAGAGATTGTGACCGACATTCCGGTCGTTCCTGTAGTAGAACGTGTTCGTGTGCGCCAGATGATTCGCCCACGTCTGGGCGTACTCGCACAACTGCAACGTTATTAACGGTAACATCGTTTATATCGATTCTCTCAATTTCTTTTAATAGTTATATAAAGAGACCGAGTGTATTTTTCGTCGTCTAAATATACAATCGAAACGCGCTTTGTGCTAAAAATCGATTAATCCCACTATGAGCACTCACGGGTCAATTTGGCCCAATCGATCGAATTTTTACACAATATACAATATAAGTGTAGTTTTCACCCTTACCTCGAAGAAATATAGGCTATATGATTATTTTATCTATTTCTATTTCTTTTTAATGATTAAAAGTTGAAAAAAGTTTAATTTTGAATATTTTTTTTCTTGCAAGTCAAAAATAAGTGTGCCTAACGAAGTTTAATATCATTTTTTTATCACATATTATTATATATAATAATATAATATCATCATAATATTATTGTGTTTAATAATAATATAATAAAAAATATAAGATTAGAACGGATACTTGCACACTGAAAGAACTTGCAGGTATTGCTGAACTTTTTATCGCCACTCTATTTTTCGCTAAGCGTATTTTAAGTTTGCTTCGCGTAATAATATCGCGAAGAGACGCTCTACACGTTCTCGCGCTCCTTACCTGAGGCGACATACTCAACGGAGGTGCGTTGTGCCGTTGCCGATATACGTTGTGCCAGCAAAGGCACTCGGTGATAAATTCGCTGTCGCGCCAGTCGGTCTCCAAGTCGCTCCTGTCGTGCGTGATACTCATCGGCCGGTTGCTGAGTATCTGCAAGAAAATTCGAAAAACGGGGCTATGACACCTGCGAGGCCACGTAACGAATTCTACTCGATCTACCTGATATGCTACACGCGATATTGTATTACTTCGTCCTTGTATTTCGCCCTACAAGGTGGCTTGCGTTTGTCTTCTCGTGCCGACGAGACATTCAATCCAATTTAGAAGATGATTGTCCGAGAAGGTATTTAATATAAAAATAATACGTAAGATTTTAGTACAAAATGATACTTTTTATACGTATTCCTTGAGATTAATGTCCTATTTTAACTTCTATCTTCAATTTCTTTTAAGTCACATTTAGGATTTTAATGAAAAACTACCGTGACATTAAGGACTAATACAGAGATGTTTTTAAGTGAGAGCCATTTAAAGTTGTCAAATAAAATTCACTCGTTTTTCGCCAGTAGTTGAATAATTCAATCTTCTTTTCTCTCCAGTAAGGAATTTCGCAGATAGTCTGCAAAGTTAGTTGAATTTAATCGAATTTCTTAAGGCTCCTGTGTACCTGCAACTGTCCTTGTTCGATGACGTAAGAAGCGAGGAAACGCATGCCGAGAATTCTTGCAATGTACGTTCAAATAAAAATATGTACAAAATAATATTTGCGACCGATTCAACACATTAATAAAATACTACGAATACTTTTTTTTTTTGCTCGAACAATCAATAACCGTAAAATTAATATTAACAAAATCACGAGGAAAGAAAGGTTTAAAAGGAAGGTTGCATATCATGTTAATTTTACGGTTATTTATCGATCTATTTTCTTTTCTTGGACTCGGACCTTTGTCGCATCTTTAAAACTTACGATCTGTAATCTTTGAATCTACAGATTTCTCGATTTTTCGTTTTATCGACCCTCGAATTTTGCAATTTATTATTATTTACCGCAATCGCTTGCGATCGGACACTTGGAGGCTCTCGAGTTCTTTTCGTAAAATTCGAAGGATCTCAAAAGTGATCCGGCGGATCTCAAAACGCGACGGATCGATGCTCGGTGACTCGAAGATTCCCTCATACTTTCTCACAAGCGGAGACGCGAGGAATTCGAAGCCCCGCTCTGCGGCTGAAAGATTCCGCGCAAATAGTCAAACTGAAAGTTCGCCGGACTGAAAGTTAGTTCGGTTAAACAAATAAACGGTGCAGTTTCCTAACTGCGTTTAGCACGACTGGGCCGTCTGTAGGAGCCGTAGGGTCGGTGCGCCGCTCCTGAATCCAAAGTATCGACCCGGGCGCTACTATGCGCGCGTGCTCCTTCGTACTTTTGATTTCGTATTCCATTTCGAAAACAGTCGCACGTAGAGCGAGCCAAGGACACCAAGGGAATTACATTCCGCGGATCTGAGGTGCGCGCGCGGCGGCCAGCGTTCGTCTCGTACGTCTGACTCCCCGCATGGAGTCTTGCAGGTCGACGCGATCCTACAAGTGTCTTTGCGTTCAATTTCGTTCCGCGAGCGCCAATAATTATCCCGCCAATAATTATTCTCTCCACGGCATCCTCTCTCAGTCCACGTCTCGAGATGATAATCTTGATCCGTCGATATAATTCCGATCACATGTTCTAGGGAGCCGATGCAATGAACAATTCAAATCCTCGATTTATAAATTGGATTATATTATCGAATATGTTTCGATTGCAACTTCAATAAAGTAAAACAACAAGTAGATTCCCAGACAGCACGAACTTCTCAATAGACTTCTCAAAGACGTCTGAGAAATATAAAAAAAAAATAAGACGTCTTCAAGGCATGTTTTAGAAATTTGTGCTGCCTATGCTGTGTAATTTTGCAAATCAGAAAAACCCGATTTTCTCCCAGTTTTCCACGGATTTTTTTGGTTTTTAACTTCTTCGCGGAAAAAAATGCAGATTTTGAACGAAAACGTGAATTTTTCTAAACGAATTTCTGTACCCTTGGAACAGAAACCGAGGAAATCCACGGAAAAAATTGGGGGAGAAGACGATTCTTTCCGAAACTCTAGAACTACAGTTGGCTGTAAGTCAGGCGTGAGAAACGTGATTCAGCGAGAGAGGACGATTTTTGGATTTAGATTGTCTTACCTTTTTCAGGAGTTTCGGTCGATTGTCCAGCTGTTGCTGAGTCTGCTCATAAGTCAGCGAGGATGCGGTGGTCACCACCGGATCGACGATCCGGTCCGCCTTGTACAACTTGCTCTGTTCCACCCTCTTTCTGAGATTCTCCAAAGCTGTCGCTTCCTCGCGCTTCCTGGAGGGCGGCCAGTTCGCGCTCGACGTATGGATCATGCTGATCCCGGCACATGGTGAATCCTGTCGGGGACCAACATCCTTCATGATAATATCACCACAATGAGAGAGACGGTTCTTTACAGTGCCATCTTGTTACCGCGTTTCATCGATACGCGCCACCAGGAATCCCGGCAGGTACAAAAATTCATCAATTGTGCTTCTCACTAACTAGCAAATTCTCGTGAATTACTTCAGCGAGTACACCAGTAAAGTTGCGAAAATCAATGAATATTCAAGTTCCCGCGCTGCAGCGAATAGACGCATGTGTGCACGCAATATGTACTAAAATACAGACAAGGCTTGCTTTCCAGAAAGAGACAAAAGTTGACACAAACATAATCACATCCTTATTCGTTCTTATATCACATTTGGTAAAGAAATAGATAATAGATAGATGCTGCAACCAGACTTGCGTCAACTCGTGTCTCTCGCTGGAGAGCAAGCCGAGTTCTCAACCTGCGCTCGCGTAACCTTGTGTAACACTCAACGTCGCGATAACTTGAAAGAATGGTGCAATTTCTTTGTTAAAAGAAAAAAAAAAGAAAACGAACAGCTACAACGCGAAACCGTCGAGGCAGGTGCGTGCAAACGAGATCCTCAGATCCGCGTAATCTCGAACCAAGGACAACCGAGAGAGAGCTTCGCATCTCCGCTTTTTCGGGAGAGTTCTCGGATCCGGAGACTCGCGAATCCCCCGAGCGTCGCGACTCCCCCGCGCAATTTCCGATCCGCGAGTTCCCGGGTTCCCGTGAGCGTAGAGCTCGCGTCGGCCAAGCGGAAGCTACTGTACACAAAAAGGTACGAATCCCAAACTCAAGAGAGAGAAAGGGGGAGAGAGAGAGAGAGAGAGAGAGAGACAGGACGCGGCCGATCTCCTTCTCGGTCACGATTCCCCGTCGAGCCCTCGTCGAGGACCAACCTTGACGTGATTGCTATTGGGAAAATTGTAGTCCAAGTGAGCGGCCTGGCTGAGCAATCGTCGGCTCGCGGGGCATCGGTTGCGATTGATCATCTCCTTCTGCATCGCGTACTTGATGAAATAGCTCTCGTACTCGGCGTTGTCGCGCTGCGGTAGGAGCTCCGTCGTCTCCTCCGCAGTGCCGTACGCGCGGTTCACCTCGCGCAGCTCCATCATCGCGGGCAGAGGAGCCTCGCGTCTCTCCGGGGAGGGATCGACCACGCTCGAGCCAGCCACCGCGAGCGCACACTGACTGGCTGTGTGCCTCCCGCGCGTTCGCCACCTCGCGTACGTACTGCGGACGTATGCGCGCCGACGTCGCCGCGACGGGAAGCGCACGCATCGCGCGGTCATCTGCTGGCGACGGCTCGAGAACCGACGCCGCGTGGGCGACGATGATCGCGGCATGGTACCGGGGTCGATAAGCTCGACCCCGACGGCTGGTGCTCTCAGCACGCCTGCCGGTACACTCGATTTTCGACCGTGCACCGACACGATGTACGGAGTTATACAGTTCCCACCATCGTGGTTTAAATTCAACGGTCGATAATTGACTCAATAGAATCGACCAGTCATATTGGTCAATTCTACCAATTGGCCAATGCGATTGGTTAATTTCTTTGAGTTAATCAATCATATGTTGATCGATCGCATTGATCAATTCAGCTAATTAGCCCAGTGCGATTGGCCAGTTCCGTTGAGTCAATCGTCGATTAGATTTAAACTATGATGGTAGGAAACGGGCATTATTCGCTAACGAAGTAACTTTTAGTATAACATTGTTAATTACTTATAATTCGACGTCATGGAATTTAATTTATAATTTATTCCGAATTTAATTTATAATTTTCTCTTTCTCTCTCTCTCTCTCTCTCTCTTTCGATCTAATTTTGAAAATATTCTAACGATGTAAACGCATTTATCTAGGATTTAGCGATAGTCCATTTAAAATCCTACAGTCTAGATAGTGTTTTGTATACATGTTTTTATTATATACGTGTACACATTAATATATTTAATCCTGGCTAGCATCCACGTTTTCAGTCTGGAGACCCTTGAAGGATGCAACAGGGATGTATGTGACGAGGGTGTACAGCTTGTTCGCAGAATCCTCGTCGTCGTTTCTTCTCCTGCTCAGCCTTACGCGTACCCTGAAGGGGACATTCCTGAGAAGCGGAAATAAATTAATTGTGTAAAATTGGTACTGCAATGTTTGATATACAAGATAAAACAGAACTCCTTACAAATCAAAAACTATAGAAAGTTTTTGAAGGGAGGATCTATTTTAAATTCTAACTATAAAATAAATTGTTTCTATGTCTATTATTTGATTAAATGTTTGTTTAGTTTGCAATAAAGGTTTAAAATAAAAGGAAATAGTACTAATATTCTTTATATATAATCAAAACAAGGTAATAATAAATATAGTCATACAATATTTACATATTTATTAATATATCTGTTCCTTATAGCTATATTTTATGAACTATTTTGTAAGTTCTCACATACATATTCTTTTCTTTTCTACCTAATATTATAAACATATGAATATTTTAAATACAGATAATATAATTCAATACAGCTACCAAGAACAGACCTTTTGAATAAAAAGTAATTGCATTACAGAGTTGGTTATAACCTAGAAATTTGAACATATCTTTTGGATTTCGTTAGAAAGTTACCTGATGCCTTTGGACCACAACTGTTTGTTGAGACGTGTGTCTATCCTAACATCGGGAGTTCCCATTTGCTTTTCTGCGAATTTCCTGATCTCTTTAATCGCTCGTGGAGCACGTTTCTTGAATCCTACACCATGGAGCCGCTTGTGCAGGTTGACTGTGTATTCACGAGTGACCACCTCGTTGATGGCACTCTTGCCTTTCTTTTCAGAAGATTTGGCCATTTTTACCTAATTACAAAAATTAATAATAAGTATAAATAATAAGTATAAAGATCAGCATATACGTTTAAATTACACATACAATTAAATCTACAGCGACAATAAGTAGGACAATTCTACTTTAAAACACAAGACTGTCGGCAATGCAGAAAATAATTGCAGAGTTACTTATTTCGCGTTGCCACAATTCCACGTGTTTAATTTTATCGCATTTATTATTTCAGGCGGTGAACGTGTCAAGTTCTCGATCAATGGCGGACAATAACAATAAACGTACTCGTCACGTGTCTGACATCGATTAACAACGAAAAAGGCAAAGTGTGACGATTACCTTAGCAAGAATTCGCGAGAAGAAAACCAGCGGAACAAGGTTTCACCGGAAGCAACGGTTCATGCAAAATATACCGCAGGATGTTCGAGGATTACGATCCGCTGGACACCACCATTACCTTTCCGATGCACGGTCGAGGTACGAAAAAGAATTTGACGGCGCCACAGGGCAGCGATGTAAAACAACGGGCCGTGATTTACAGCGAGGGCGCTTTCGCCGCCCGAGATCGCTTCCCATTGGTGGATGTGGAATTGTCCCCACCAATCGCGGGAGAAGAAGCGGCCGTCGTGCTCTCCGTGTTCCTAAACGCAGCGATAAATCTCGCGTACGCGACACGCGGGGCTACGTCAGCGCACTCTCGAACGGTATATCGCAAGCGATCGCTTCGAGGACGCGCTTACTGCACCCTTCGCGATGGCGAGTGGGAAATAGAGACGTACTCAGTCGGTGCTCGTTAACCTGCGATGTCGAGTTGATTTTTAATCCCGATCATCGCTCGCAGCACCTTTTTAAAAAAAAACGGATCAGAGCGCTGAATAATGGCCAGCAAAGTATGGCACTCAGAATTGTGGAAGTCATGGGATAAACATGGAAGAAACGATTTGTAAGTGGTGTTGTTAGCGCGTCGCCTGGTCGACGCTGCTCGACACGGTGGTGCATTGCTGGTCGCGAAAACACTTATCTACTCCTGTTAACTCGCTCACTTCTGACGACTTAATTTGTGAATTCACGACTGTTTGCAGCCTCAAGCTAATCAAGCACAAATTTAAGGAAGGCAACACACCAGGTAATGCACCGCGATACCCTCTATATAGCGCCTCGTGCCGAGCTTAACTTGGCGGCCCACACCATTATTGTTTTTCTACAGACTGTCTCCCTTTGTATATCACGCTCTCCTTAGCATATGCATGTGCCTCTTACGCTGTGTGCTCACGTCGCATCCGTGGTGTAGCGCAATTTTATATTCCAGTCTCTTGCAATAAGACAGTGATCAGCTTTTTTCTTTATTTCTCCGATTATTCATACGTATCAGTGGTATGTCTGTCGGAGACGGCCAGGAGCATCTTTAATTTTTGTTGAACTATCCTTCTTAAATTTATTTTCTGCCACTTTCTTTATATCTCATCTGCTTTATGCACCTCTTTTGTTGTATATTTTCATATGTGTATCATATATATATATATATATATATATATATATATATCTGTATATGAGTTTTCGCATATAATCTTTATATTTGATGTATAAAAAATTTTATATATATTTTGACTTTAAGATAATATTATACGACACTGCATTCTGTTCTTCTTTTTTAAATAGGATTTGCAAAAGGAAAATAAAAATTACAAGTTTCCTATTTTATTGAAATTGATGTCATAATTTTTACAATCACACGCATACATACTGCTTTCCTTCATACATCGCCTCATGTCATCTTATATTAAATCATTTGATTTTATATACTTTTAATTTTGATTTTCTAAACGATACTGAAGGATCTGTTTCTCTTTATTTTTATAGAATGGAGACGTGGAATATACGAATTAATATCAAACGGAATCCATGGGAACATAAAAAAGGACAGTGTAGTCCAGACATTAGGTGAACTTACGGTAAGACCATATTTCTTATTATTTAAGGCTTTACGAAATTGTTGAAATTAAACGAGATCCTACAGTAATATTAAACATATGAAATTTACTTGTAGAATTTGGATGGTGCAATACCATCTGCAATAGTAGACATATTAACCTTATTTGATGCAGAAGCACACAATGAGGAACGGAACAATTTTTATTATATCGTGAAAGAAAGTGAAAAGGTACACATGGATTTATTTATATTATGATATGTATTGCATATATTGTTTGTTAGATATTTCATATATTATACCTCTTGTCTTAAAAACAGAGTTTTATTAATTAAGAAAACAACTACATAGCTTTTATACTAGGAAAAATTATTTCTCTTAAAGTACATTATTTTTAATTTCTTGTGTTTCCTTTTGTTTTCCACAGTTTTTAACTGACAGAATATTGAAAGAACGTTTAGAAATCGAGACTTTGCAAGATGTAGGAACACTGAAAAACAAAAATTTTCAAACCAAGTTCATAAAAGTGAAAACGAAATTATAGTGAGTATGCCTCCACCAGTGTATGTAAAGCTTGTTCTGGTTTACCTGCGTTAGACAAATGTTTCAAAACTCGCCTATTTCTTGCAGTTATAAGCAAAGGAAGTTCAATTTATTTCGCGAAGAGAGCGAGGGTTATTCCAAACTGATTGTAGAGTTAAATCAAGAGCGTCAAGACAGCGAGGTGGCTTCAACACTGGAAATTGTCAAGTCACTTATTGGTATGAATCTTCGTTTCTGCTGCATATCTTCTCTCTGAAACTATGTTTCCACGTCATAAGAATCACACGGTCACAAAGATCAAGATGAAAATAAGTTCAAGTTAAATTAATGCAAGACGAATATTCAAAACGAATTTAGCAGAAACGCAAAGAACTACAAAATATCGTTGTTCTTACAGGATATTTCAATCTTGATCCTAATAGAGTCCTCGACATCTTACTAGAAACCTTTGAAAATCGACCACAGGACGATGCTCTGTTTATTCCCTTAATACGCTCGTATATGAGCGATCAGCAGGTACTCTGCGAGGTATTAGGATTCAAGTATTGCTCCACCATCAACGCCACGCCGTTCTCGCTGCAAAAGGTCACCGCGCTTATGCTACAGTATGGCGTGATCCAACTGGACGACATATTACCCTGGCTGGTGCCAGACGACAAAACCATCATATCGGATCACGAGCTGGCGATGAAACAAGCCAAGGAGTATGTGCGAAAAATGAGCGTGATCTCGACGAAAGATAAGGAGGAGACTGTGGAGGAGAAGGACAATTCACAAGTAGCGAACAGAAATTAATTTCCTCGTCCTTTGAGTTTCAAATTCGACTTCAGCTAATAGTAATTACTCGACGAATACGAAAATCCTCCGATGAAATGCACTGTTCCTTCTACGCAAGATTCATTATTATTCGATGCAGAAAATGTGCTGTGTCATTTCGTTCTTAGATGCTCTGCCGAAGATACTCCGTGCTCTTGCATTACGAATAATTCTAAACTGTTTTCCTTCTTAAATCTCGTACAATTAGCTGAATCAAATTTGTTGACTATTTTCCTTTTATTTATTACGACTTGGCAATGTGATCTCTTGGACGATTGACATTGACTGCCTCTTCTTCTATTTTGAAGGAAAAATACGCGAGCAATCAAAAGTTTGGTCTGTGCGAAGCCCTCCTGGAAGTCGGGGCTTGGGAGGTGGCTCAAAGTTTATTCAGCCGCTTACCGGACTATTGTCTCACCGATCAGCGCCCCATAGCTTTAACACTCTGCAAAATGATACAGGCCCTTATCGAGCCCGTGTATAGAAAGTAAGTCATTGGTCTTCTCACATTTTGTTTATTTCAGCAGAAGATAAAAGAGTCGTAAGAGTCACACGGGCATGTCCGAGCGCCCGCTCGTTTCTACCAATGTCGACTAAATGTTACCCCAAGTTTAAACCGAAGGGAGTTCAAACTCTGGTTAAGCTATATAGTCGACGTTGGTAGGAACGGGAATAAGAGTAACGCTTCAAGTTACTACATTTCACGAGCGGCTGACTCGCTTCGCCAGCATGGACGAATCATCGATATTCTTCGACGTTGTTGTTCCGTTATTTCAGGAACTGCATCGTCTCACCGAAATTGCCAGGCCGTAAAGTGCCTCCCCTGAAGAGCGCCCTCGCGCCGACACCGATACAAAACCTGGACGACATTCACGATCACCTGCTGCCAATGCTGATCGTCCTCGGGCCGAACCTGCATCATGATCCTATTCTGATGTACAAAGTGATGAGGCTGTGCAACGCCGCCCTCAAGCCGCTCGACGAGAATAACCAGCCGTTGAACAAGAACAACAGACTATATTACGACGTGCTGACCATATTCGACGTCGCACTACTGCCCTCTCTCTCTTTCATGGACTGCAACTGTTGCGTGGCCGAGGAGCTGTGGAACATCCTCAAGTGCTACCCTTACCAGAATCGTTACTGCCTGTACGCGCGCTGGAAAAACGAGACGCCGTTGCAACACGCCGCTCTCTTGCGGAAACGCGCGGACGCTCAGAAGAAGATCAAGTCGATCATGAAGCGAGTGAGCAAGGAGACGATCAAGCCGGTCGGCCGTTCCATCGGCAAGCTCACTCATTCCTCGCCGGGCGTGCTATTTGATTACGTCCTCGTGCAGATCCAGTTGTATGACAACCTCATAGGTACGTGCGCATCGAGTCAGGGATCTTCCGTGTGAGATGTCTCGGTGTCGACCATCTCGACTGCTGTTTTTCATCTCGTTATTCCAGTCGAGGTGGCTGGTTTTATTTTGAGTTTGACGTTAAAGTTCTGAACGCGAGAGATTTGCACGTAAGAGCCAACAAGTGATAGTGAATAATTTAAGATCGCCGGGGAATGTTTAAGATAAGAATATAATGCAAGATATGAAAATATTCTCGTGCGTAGGAGATATGTTCGTAAAATGTTTCTTATTGAAAATAATTTCAGGACCTGTGGTGGATTCTTTAAAATACTTGACGAATATTTCGTATGACGTATTAGGATACTGCCTTGTAGAGGCATTAGCAAGTGCTGATCGAGATAGATTTAAACACGACGGCACCAGTATATCTTTGTGGCTGCAATCTTTAGCTTCCTTTTGCGGAGCGATATTCAAGAAATATAATATCGAACTTAAGGGGTTATTACAGTACGTAGCGAATCAACTTAAGGCTCAAAAGAGGTACGTATTTATTTGTATATAAAATATTAAAAAATGACGATTATTTCCCACACATCACACAAATATTAGGGGGACCGGAAAGTAACGTCGTTTCTGCGCATGTCGATATTCGTTTGTCATTTATCAGCTCATTGTGTACTTCAAAGTCGTGCCAAAGATATTTTAATGTTAGAATGACTTGTTTACTTGTAAATAATTAAATCTTAAGTTTTTTTTTGCAATTTATGGTGAAATGGCCAGCCAAATACCAGAAGAGGTACATATCCGGCATTGTATGCTTTTTGAGTTTCGCAAGGGTAGTAACGCAACAGTTGCTACCAAAAACATTTGCGATGTTTATCCAAGTGCATTAGACGTTTGTAAATTCCAAAGGTGATTTTCTAAGTTCAAATCCGGTAATTTTGATTTTCCCTACTTGTACCACCGATTAGGAAGAGCAACAACTTTAGACAATGACATGTTAAGGGCGGAAGTGGAAGCAAATCCGTGTCAGACAATCGAGGAACTGTGAAACACTCTTAACCAACCTTGGTCGACTATCCAAGGACATTTGCAACAGATTGGTAAAGTAAG